AGCTCAACAGTTGATTATTTGGAGGGTTTAAACAGCATGTGTTATTGGGTAATTTCAGTCTTGGTGTTCATAAGGACTGGCTGTTCAGGGCTCAAACCTGCAATCTGGAAGCCTCCCAGTTGCCATTGCCTCATGTATTACTCTTTCTCGTGTAATGCCAGCTCATATGGTGCAAGATATTTAAGTTCTGCTAGCGAATGCAAGTGCGTATCGTTTGTGTGGTCACTATGTGTGCATAGATGTATTTACGTATTAAAACTCTGCTTGGGAGAAGTAGAAAAGTTAATTCTCCCGTTAAAGGTGCTTTTTTGGATACCTTTACTGTTTCTTATTCCAGATTACCTCCCCTTAAACAAGGCATCTCCTTGGGCTGAAATTAATCTTGATGGAAGGAAACCGATGACACACTCTTTCTCCACCTTAGTCTCCAAGGGTTAGGTGTTTGTTTTCTCGTTTCAGTATTAAGGAGTCACTGGTGGATTAACTATCTAGGACGCTCTTCCTCAAAAGAGGCTTCTAGGCTGCTCATGCCAGAAAGGGCTTATTAAAGAAAATGAGGAGCCGAAGGAGCGAACATCYGAAGGCTGCTAATTGCTTTTTGTGGCTTCCTCGCTCGCCAGCCACCTGCGTTTCTTACATAAAACTGCAGTCCCCTCTTTGCTGCGGATCATTGCAAAAAGCCGCCGTGAACCCGGCTCTGCCCCTTTGAMAGGGAACCAAAACACAGGGGGTCATCGGCGACACTTTATTTTCCTTAAAGAAGGGAACCGCGATAACTCTCGCTTCGGTGCAGTAGGAAAYCTGGTTTAATAGCTATGTAGTATAGTAGATGTAGAGGTGGCCCAGGACTAGTATTGAGGACGCTGCAGGGTGGTTGCCGGAGCTTTTGGCACCTTTGGAGCTGCTCTGCACGCGGAGCTGGCTCTGCTGCGGCTCCGGCCCGTCCTCCCTCCTGCAGGGGCTTTTGGAGCTCGGCGGGACCAGGGTTTAGTGCCGCGGTTGCGCCCGCCTGGAGCTTTAGGAGCCTGCCTGGGTTTTGCTCTTGTTCTTTAGTGTGGRCACGTATCCGCCCGGAGCCGGGAGGAGCCCTTGTTCCCCCTGAACGCATCAATGCACCGAGCCGCTCAGCGCTGAGCAGGAGCATGAGACGTTTGGCACCTAAGGGAGACGCCCGGGCAGGAGGCAGCTGCTTTGGTGACGTCTCTGGGCCCGTCCTGCGGCTGCCYGCGCTGGAAGGGCCGGGGTGCTCCGTGCGACGTGGCCGTGGAGCGCAGCCTGGGCACCCGCTCATCCCAGCGTACCTGTCCCTGCCTTCCAGTGCTCCTCTCTCCGGTCCGTGAAACGGGTGTTTTCTGTCTCACCATTTCTGCGAGTTTTCTACTCGTAACTCTGGCAGTGACTATAAACATTTCATTGATTTTTTTTTTTTTCTTTAAGGTGCCTTATTTCAGCTAATAGCTGAGTCACCAGCCGCCGCTCCGCRGGCGGGATTCCAGGGCGAGAAGAGCCTTTTTGCTGAAACTTTCCTGTTTGAGTTACGGTTTTTGGCACACGCGGTTGCCTTTCGCGTCTATTCCCACCTGGCTTGTTGGGTCCCAGCTGTTTGGGTGTCTTGCTACAGCAGAGCAAGAGCATGAAACAAGCCCCGTCTAGTCTCAAAGAGCAGCAATGGCCTTAGTGAGGTTTAACAAGGAAGGGAACGGAGGGGTGAGTGATATTTAAGCTTATTTTTAACCTCTAGGCTCCCTCCTAGGACTTGCAGTGGGTTTTTTTTGGCCTTGGAGGTCCCTGCCTGTGCTGTGAAACCGAGTGCGTGGCCTGTCTGGAACAGGCCTCCTAGGTGAGGCTGGTCACTCATGAAGGGCTAAGGAAGGGGAGTTTGCAGAGTTGCTGCTACTCTGGGTCGAGCCTCTTGGCTTTGAGGAGGAATGGGTGGTGACAAGCCTAGAACAGGTAAGATCCGCTTGGAAAGGGTTCCCAGTCAGTTGGGATGGACTGAGCGGAGTTTGCTCATGAGGAGCTGGTTACCCGCCCAGCACAGCACAGCTTGCTGWAGGATCACAGAGCAGAATCATACAAGCCTTAAGGTTGAAGGGACCTCTAGAGTCACCCAGTCCAAGCCCTTGCACATGCAGGGGCACCCGGAGCACGGGGCACAGGCTGCACCCAGGCGGGTTGGGAAGATCTCCAGAGAAGGARCCTCCCCAGCCTCCCTGGGCAGCCTGTGCCAGGGCTCGGGCACCCTCACAGYGAAGAAGTTTTTCCTTAAGTTCCCRGGGAGCTTTTGGTGCTTCAATTTGTGACCRTTTCCTCTAGTCCTATCAGTGGCCACCACCGAAAAGAGGCCAGTCCCACATAGGGGGATTCTCCACCCTGCAGGGGTTGGATGGGCTCTGCTGAGTCTGGGCTGTTTCTACAGGAGCAAATCGCCATCCAGAGCCGRTCCTCTGCCACACGCAAGTCAGGGTGGTTAATTTGGAGTGAGACCAAGAAGTCGCTGACAGCTCCGTGTCCCCACGAGCTCGATGAGCAGCGTGTGCAGCCTGGGCAGGTAGAAATCGCAGCGTTGCAGCAGCCGAAGCTCAGGTTCCTTCAGAAGCAGCTCCCTGCTCGGGGCACATCWGCAGACTCGTCCCCCGCGCCGCAGTGCCCCGTTTGCAGGAACGTGTGCGTGTCGTGGAAACACCACCACCAAGCAGAGGTTCAAGAAGGGCAGTTTGCTCAACGTGGTGCGAGAGGCCCTTGGATCCGGTGACGCAYGTTGCGCGCAGCCCTGTTCCCAAATCCCCTTCTAGTCCCTGGTGTTTGAGCACCCAAGGAAAATCTTGCTGTCAAGCGACATTAGCAAGAGCAGAATTAAGTCTTAGAGGATTTAGCCGAGCGGCTTTGGCTGCAGAGTAAATGGAGAAGCACGCTGCTCCTTAAAGCTCCAGGTGCATCTGCAGGACCTCTCCTGAAGGGTGGTCATCAGGAAGCTGCTYTGCTTTGGCCAGGATCCTCTCCACTTCTGCACTTTGCTCCTAGCTGGGATGGGATGGTGGCTGCCGTGCTTCTACTTGGTTTCTTTGGCTTAGCGTCGTGCATCTGACCCAAATCCTSTGTATCCAAGGAGAGTCACTGCTCCAGGATGGAATTCATAGCCAGGATCAGTTAGTTAGGGGAGCTGAATTGGCTGAAACTTCTCGTTTATTACTGATACCTGAAGCAAAGGGTTCAAGAGGATGCAGCTGAGCATCCATTCCCTGTGTGGGGATGGGATGTTGCACCCATTAAACTGCTGAATCCTGCTCCAGGGCAGCAGTGTGGGCAGGGAGATGGGAGTGCTTGGAAAATCAAGGATAGAAATGAAATCTGAGCTGAGCCTGCATGGTGATGCCTTGTACATCCCTGATTCCTCTTTGGGAAGTGGCCCCCGGGGCCCTGTGGCAGTGGAAAACTCCAGCTGAAAAATCAAATGGAGTCCCCAGGGCTGCATGRGGTCCTGCCCAATTCCTGGATCTTGGCAGCCGCCCTGGGAAGAGGCTCTGCCTCCTCTCCTCGCTTCCGAGCTCTCCCGYCCGCCGGGCGATGCTCCGCTGAGCAACCGCGTTGGGTTGGGATGTCCTGGTGGGGCGCGAGGAGCAGATCTTGCCCCGGAGCAGAGGAAGGAGGGCATCGGATGTGGCTCTCCCGAAGGATTGTRAGGAATGTGGCTCCGAGTCCTCCGGCCTTTTATGGGCTCGCTCCAAATGAGCACCGTGGTTTGAACGCGGTGCCTGGATATCGTCACGGGCGGGAAGAGCTGCCTCCGTCCTGAGTGGGTTACGCTCCCGGCCGCGATGTTTGCTTCTAATTAATCCTAATCAAGCCCCGTTGTTAAGTTACGTGGGCAGATCTGGGTGTGAAGGCTGTAATGAAGAGAGAAGCCCGAGGTGGGGAGCAGGTTTGTCCTGGTGCCGCCGTGTCCGACCTTGGCGACGTCTCCCTGCCGCTCCGGCTCCCGCGTGCGCAGGCTGCTCGGCCGCTCGGGACGTGCCAGGGAACGCGTTTCCCTTTCCTCTGCCATCCTCCTGGGGCCGGAGGCGCGGGAGGGAGGAGGAACATCGTGTTCGGATCAGCCGGCACCTTCGCATCCAGCAGCTCTTCTCCCGCACAGGCGCCGGGATGGCAGCGCTGCGGAGCCCGACGGCTGCAGCGCCCTCCGCTCCTGGCATCAGCTGTTGTGTGCACCTCAGAACCACCTCGATTACGTTGTTGTTTTGCTTTTTGTCCATTTTCATTTTGCTTTTTTGCCCAYGTGTCACCTGGGTCAGGCTAAGCGCTCTAAAATTGTCTTTTATATATATATTTTTTTAATATTTTCCCCCGCCACACAGCTGATGCGAACCACGGAGCGGATCAGCCCTTTTTTGGTTTCACGGCGCTGGGCTCGTCCTCTCCATCCGAGCGGGAATTGGCCTTCGCTGCTGCAAGCGCTTTTCCTTTCGGGATGGTTGTCAAGGAAACACTTGCGAGGCCCCACATCCCGGCTCCGGGACGCCGTGGGCCACGAACGGCTCCATCCTGCCGCAGAAGGAGCTTCGCCATTGCAAACTTCAATACCTTTTGCTGCAGGATCACCCCCGTTGCAGCAGTTCTTTGCAGCTGGCCCTCGCCRAGGGCGCCTTGCCTGAACTCCAGGCTGTCCCCACGTAACTAGCGGCCCAGGAGATGGTTTCAGCTGTTTTGTGTTTAAATCAGCGTGAGTTTTTGTGTAGATGACCCCAAAGATCTTTCATTGAGTCTTGCAAATGCTCCGGGGAAAAATGGATTCATTTTGGCATCAAAAGCTTGCGTTGCTCTTCAAAAGCTCTTCTGTAGGCCCTGGATAACGAGCACAATTTCGCTCGGGTTGCTTTATTTCCGTGTTATTTCTGGGGCTCTCGGCTGGCAGCAGCAGCTGGCGGCGCCCAGGGTGCAGAGCAGCCGGCTGCATCCTCCTGCAGAGAGATGCTGCCTTTCAAAAACAACCCCCCACAAAACCCACCCTCCGTGTGTTTAGGCCGGCGCCCTAGCTGCCCTTTCCCATCCTAAACCGAGCCGTGCAGCTTTCTGGGCAGAAATGCAGTTTAATAAGGGTAAGTAGGGCACCCCCCGTGCCYGCGAGGGGCAGCGGGTGAACAGCTCCCGTCTCCAGGAGGCTGCTCCCRCTGCTGCTCCCTGTTGTCCTGCTCCCTGACCACTGCCTGGTGCTCCCATGGCAGAGCTGGGAGGCTGCAGCCTCCGTGAGCAGCCTCCCCTTGGCTGCATCCCGCCGGGCACCGTGCTGCGGGGCAGCTGCGCCGCTCCCACGCCTTCCCTGGCACCCTCTCCCGCTGCCTTTTTCTTCTCGCCCTCCGTAATTTCGTTTTATGATCAGTTTATGATCAGGAAATAGCAGCYGTCTCTTTTGATGGGCACGGGTCGTTTCCAGCCTTGCTCTCCGTGTTCGTCCCGCAACGTGTGCGGGGCCGTTGCCTCCTGCAGCCCGTGCCTGGCTGCTCCGCTCTTCCTAATGCTCCTGCACGCATCGAGCAGTAAATCACAGCATCCCCGTTGAAGTCTTGGTGCCTTTTTTCACCCAAATGGGTTAGAGGACATAGGTGGCTACTCCGGTGTATTGTATCTGGATCAAATAAATGTAAAATTGGGTCCCGCTTCAGTGCGCGTGCGCACGACCTGCTGCGTTTCCACAGCTTCCCAGCAGGCTACAGGGGGTTAATATTAAATATCTGTGTTGCAAAGGTTGCCATCGTGCTGGTAGGTTAAAAATAAATAACCCCCCCGAGCAATAAACTCAGATTGTCCTGGTGCTTTGAGAGGCTGACTTTGAAAATCAGCCCCGTCCCATTGCAATTGCCTCCGGCCCGGGGGCAGGTAGCAGAATTGCAAGAGGGCTTTAGTGCGTTGCGTTTTTCGGAGGGATCTTGTTGGTACGGAGCTTACATGATGTTTATGTGATCCTGTGTTTCTAGTCCTGAGAGAATTATTTATTTCTTGGTGGGCATTTAGTAAGGGCTGCTTTTGTTAATGGGGCGGCAGTTCTGCATGTGAGATTGGTCAAAGGAGCCCGGAATCTGCTCGGGCTACTTCTCCAGAGCACGAAAAAGGCTTCGGTGTCATATTTGTATTTTCTATACACGTGCACACACAAGCAGGCGCCCTGCAAACGAGCTCCTTATCACGCCTTGCACAAGATTTCTGCAGGATGGGCCTTAGCTTTCCTAGGAGATCCCTTCTCAGTGCATGGAAACCTCTCACGGCTTGTCCAGGTTTACAAGGAAGGCTTTTTAGCTGCTTTTGAGAGATTAAAGCAACTATTTTTTCTTGTTTAGATTCTGACACTCCTGACCCTTGCACGTCACCGACGAAGGGTCTAGGGTGCTGTGGGCCTTGCACCCTTCTCCTAAGAGCTTCTCCTAACCCCATGCCCAGTCCGTGTGTCTGCCCTACAAAAGATTAGTGACCTCTTAAACTCACCCGAGAAAAAGAAGTACCCAAAACTGCCACCTGTCTGTGAAATTCCAGGCACCTTCCAAACCTCGGGCTTCCGATTTGCTAAGGAGACGGGAGAAGCTGGTGGAGGTTCGGGTTTTCTTTGCAAAGCCGAGCGCTCCCGCCTGCGTGTTGGCAGCGGGGATGTTTTTGTGCCGTGCGTGCACAAATAGGGGCTGGGGGGGGTCTAAAAAAGTCCGAACGTCAATTTGTTTGACGTAACGTGTTGCATAAGAGGAGGAACGGGTTATCTAATGTGTAGGTTTGCGCTCCTTTGAGGCGGTAGAGCTGAAAACGGAAGCTAAACTTGAGGATCCTGGTCTGTTTTGGACAGTAAAAGCGGCCAGGGTTTCTGCAGATAAATCCGTCCCCATCCTGCAGCGCGTGGAGCCCGAGTGGCTGGGGCTGCAGGTAGAAAGGCGTGCRAAAAACGAGGTGCAAAACGGGAGCTGAGGATCACTGCCCATGGCAATGATGCGTTCCCGGGCAGGACGGCTACGGGCAGGACAGGGAAGAGGAGCCGAAGGGCCGGGAGGAGCCGCGGGCCGGGCAGAGCGTGGGCTTCATCCCGCGCTCCCTCTGGAGCTCTTCCCGGCCGTGCCAGGGCTAAGCCGTGCCCCATCGGAGAGGAATCGCTCCAATTAGCTCATTAGGGATTGAAGCCTCCGGGGGCAGAGCCGCAAGCCCCCGCGGTGCCCGATGCGCGCGGTTAGGGCAGGTCTCCCGGGACATCCGTCAGCTCCCTCCAGACAAGCACCCGGTGGGGATTTTGATGTTTGCCGAGACGAGCCGCTTTGCTAGCGCGGGCTTCTGGAGGAGGCTTTGCTGGCGATGCCCCCGGCCATCCCGGAGCGTCGTTGCCCCCGGCGCGCGGCAGCTCCCGGGCACCGTCCCTCCGCGCGGGYGAGCGGTGGTGATGCCGCGGCTGGTACGTGTGCGGCGGCAGGCACCTAAATGCTGGCAACGAAAGCGGCTTGGGGTAATTATCAGAAAATTAAGGATAATCTCCTGCTCYGGAATCGGGATAAAGGGCAGAGGAGAGATTAGCGGGACTCGTTGGCAGCGCGGGGCCTGGGATGGCGAGGCCGGCTGGGAGGCATCTCAGCCACGCTGCGTTCCCGGCCATTCCCAACGCCAGACACRGAGCAGGCCTTGTCCCTTTGGGTTCCTCCGGCTTCGCGGAGCCGCTGCCCCACTTGCAGCTTGAACGGGCCCCGTTATCCAGGTGTTCGCTCGGTGCCATCGCCCCTGCTGCCGCAGCCATTGCCGTGTTTTTTATTGAGCAACAGTTAATTTATATTCTCTTATGGCCAAGAACTGATTTTTCTTCGCCAGCCGGAGGGTGCGTGTCCGTCGGATGTGCTGTCTGAGCTGTTAATGGCCCATTAGCAGCAGTGCGGTGTTTTCTGAGCTGAATGGTGAGATTGTTTGCATGGGTCCCATAACTTCATGAAGACTGAGCAAAAGCAGCTGCTTTGAAGCCTTTTCTGCTTACATGAATCGGGCTCTCCTCTGGATGTTTTCTGTCTCATGTCCCTGTTTTTCCTGATGTTCTCCCCTTCTCTCCTCAGGTCTGGCGCTGAAGAAGGCAGCAGTCACTGAGGTGAGATGTGGAAAGCTGGTCTGGGAAACCCCATGCTGAGAGCTGAGAACACAGAGCCCCGGGAGATGCTTCAATACGACCTTCTGAACAAAACTGGGTTTTAAAATACACTTAATACTACTGAGAATTTGGTATCATTTACTTGGGAGAATGAAAGGAAAGGGATGCGAAGGGATTTTGCCCCTTGTGTGGCCAGACTTAGCTCCACGTTGTCTTCTGTAAGCACTTGGATCGTGTGGTTGGCTTCAGATAACGGTGTGGAAGAGCTTCGTGGTCTGCAGCAGAGTCCGTGGGCATCTCCTGAGCTCTGCTTTGGGTCTCACCTGCTCCTGGGAGTCAGCTGAGGTGGCTGTGGTTTGTGGAGCCCTAAAACGGGGRCGTCTGCAGGGAGTCTCCTTCTCCTGCCCCCCTGCAGGTTGCTGAATCACTGTTCCCTTCTGGAGCAGAGCTCCTCACAGTTGGTGGCAGGGAATCCAGTGGGAGGATCTGTGCCTGAGAGCTGCTGCCTGAAGCCCACACTCGTGGTTAGGGCACCGCGTTCAAATGATCTCTTTTGATCTAATTTCCTGACTTGTCCCTTTCTGTTACTCACCTGGGATGATGAACATGTGAATAGTAGCATCTTTCCATAAATCTGCCAGAGATTTCACACTTGAACCGTTTTCCCTCCCCAGGAATTGGCGTAGTTAGAAAAGCTTCTGTAAGAGCTAATTGCACAAATAACCCAACCTATTCCTGCCCCAGAAACAGTTATGATTAGAGCAAGTGACTAAGGAATAGCCTTTTTTTCCTCTTTTTTTTTTTTTTTCCTTTTTTTACTGATTTTCATGGGATAGCAATCTGTTTAACCAATCCCTGTGTCTGTTAATCACTTTGTGATCAGCCTCGTGGAGGCGCAGGGCTGTGCAGATGGAATTTGCTTGTAATAGGATACAGCCTCTTAGGTAGAAGTTGCGAGGGGAGGATAAACTATGCTGCTAATCACGACTGCTTGGAGACAGAGCACTGGGAAGCAAGCTCAGCTGTGCAAAACAAATGTTTAAAACAGAGTGAAAAGCAGGATTTTTTTGAAAGAAAAATCAGACAGCCTTAGATCCAGAAGTTCAAGCAGCTTGGCCAGAAATAGCTGCAAGCTCTTGATTAAAAACTAAAGCACAAAGAAGTTCTGTAGCCTGAACAAAATTACATATTGTCTGCTCCAGACGTCAGCTCTGAGAGATGGCCCTGCCTGCGGGAGCCGGTGATATAATATTGTCACTTGGGGAGTGACCTTGGGGTGCTCGGCACGCTGCTCAAGGAAGCGTCCAAAGCCTGGCTGTTCGGGACTACAAAACCCCGGTTTAGTTGGTCCCTCATCAACAGCTGGGGGTCATGTGAAACTGCCCCCCTGTGCACAGGGTTGCAGGAGTTACCTCAAACTGCACCACACGGGGTTGACTTGACTTGTAAAAGGGTTTATTCACATTTATTCACATTCCTCTTAGTCTTGGATCAGCAGCAAAGACCTGGAACAACTTAGGAGGGGAAGAAGTGGGTTGAGGTTAAGATCTGCTCCCTCTCTGAAGGTCCTGCAGCATTTCTGCAAAATTTTGCCAGCCCCGAGGAAGAACTATATTGCCATTCGCCCTGCGTGGGCTCATCCCTGCGCTGAATTGTTATCAAATGAGATCTTGCTTAAATGGATTAGCTCCGTGTGAGCGCAGGCGTGGGGTTGCGTTAGGCGTGTTATCTGTCCCTGATTTCTTCAGAGAAGTGTGAGGTAGTGCTGGGAAACTGCAGGGCATGGGCTCTTCAGAAATAGGCTTCTCCCTGTTTGATTTAACGTATCACTATTTGTAATCAATGAGAACCCAAGGTTGGGCACCTGGGGCATCTGGCAGCAAACCCATCTTTCCTGCTGCCTTTGCTGGGGGCTCTGCTTTTCAGTGCTGTGGGTTTTGCTTGGAGAGGCTGGGAATTCTCAAACTTGCCGTCTTGTAGGACGGATGTACAATGCAAATAGCCTTGGAAGAAGCTTGTTGGTGCCAAGTAGACCCATTTGCATCATGYTTTCCAATTGTAGGGACCATCGCTTCCAGGACAGCCTGGCCAAGGAAAGAAGATAGGTCATCGAGGAGTTGATGCTTCTGGGGAAACCACCTACAAAAAGGTTTGTTTGAGTGGTGCAGGAACCAGTAGGTAGCAGATCAAGAAGAGAAACTGGGTCTCAGGATTAGTTAGAGCACAACTGAACTTTCCTGAGTTACTTTGTTAGTGTGCTGCCAATTTCATTTAGATTTTGTGCAGTGCTCTTGTATAACCTGGCTGCTCGCAAGGCTTCTGAATGCCTCAGCCCATCTATTCAGCAGCTGGTTGAACTTGTTTAGCAGAACAGAGTGTCCGGGGCAACTCCTTAAGAGCCTCAGCAGGGCTGTGCTGCAACGCAGGCAATGTCACAGCAATGTGCTGTGCAGTGCTTGTTGACTGCTCTTTTCTTTCCACCAGACTACTTCATCCACCCTGAAGGGAGCCATCCAGCTAGGGATCGGATATACAGTCGGCAATCTGAGCTCCAAGCCGGAGAGGGATGTCCTGATGCAGGACTTCTACGTGGTGGAGAGCATCTTTTTCCCGAGGTAAAGAGGCCTGGGAAGCAAAACGAAGGAAGGAGTTAATTTTCCTCTCACCAGTTTTTCAAGAGCGCTTCCATCTGTCTGTGAATCACAGTGATGGATGCTCTGAATGTTTTAAATATGCATCTTTTTCATAGCAAAATACAACAGTGGGAAGTGTTAGATTCTGCAGTGCACTGGCTTGCAAGGAAGTGCAATGTGAGATGCAGAACTGCATTCCTGGTTTGTTAGGTGTGTTTCTTCCTACCAGTCTGCTTAGAATTTCTTTCTAGAAACTAGACCCCATCTGAGATGGAGGAAACTTTCTGGAAGCTCCCTGATCGTGAGGGTAAACAGAGCTCCTAAAACCCATGTTTTAYGGTTAAATACATTCAGCTTGGCAAATGCTATTGCTTGCACCCTTTGGAGACAGATTTTCCAGACRGATTAATACTTTTATTTCCATGTTGTTCTGCCACAGGAAAAAAACCACTGTTGTATTGTTCCTAAGATGTTTTGCAAGGCTCAGTTTATCTTTAGTACGCGGCAGTGTTGATGTGAATGCGCACGCGTGGTGAAGGTTGACACGGAAAGTGTCCTCACGTAGTGTCTGTTCTGTGCAGCGAAGGAAGCAACCTCACCCCGGCTCACCATTACGCCGACTTCAGATTCAAAACCTACGCTCCGGTGGCTTTCCGCTACTTCCGAGAGCTCTTTGGGATTCGTCCGGATGACTATTTGGTATGGATATATGACTGGATTTCTGTCTTTCCTGCTTTGTTTGAATTGGTCTGGGGTAAGCCTAAATCAGCTAATCTTGCTGAAAAGGGGACAGAGAAGAGTCCGTTGCTCTGATCCCAGCAAGGAGCGGGAACAGGCTGCGGCTTTCGAGCCTCTGCTCCTGTTTGGAAGGGTTCCAGTGACAGTCCCAGCAGGGACTGCCACCCTTTTTGAGCCAAAATCCTCATTTCCAAAGAGGTAACTGCTGCCTTTTGCTGGAGGGAAAGGAAATCTGCTCTAAGGGAATGCAGCCTGCCTTACGTTACAGGGGTTCCCCCTCTGCTTCTTGTGGGGACAATAACTCACTTTGTTGACAAGCCAAAGGAGCCTTGTTCTGCTGGGTGCAACCCTGTGACGTCCCCTGGGGCTCTGAGGACAAAGATGGGAATTCTTCCTCGTGTACTCACTCAAGAACTATGTGAATGTAGTTTAGTTAATCATCTTATGAAGCCAGAAGAAAATCCAGCCTCTTGTTGYGCTCAGGAGGTTCTTCAGAGCTAGAAAGGCTGTTTTCGGCACAGCCAATAGGCAGGGTGACGAGACTGGGAATACTCCATGGGCAAATTTTTGTCCCTTGAATTTTTGTCCCTTTTGTCCCACGTGCACATACCCCTTTTCAATAGCCCTTTCTTCTGACCCCAACTGCGCCCAGGGGTGACTGTGACTGAAAACACGCGGGTTCAAACGGGTCTGTGCATCCCCTGCACGGCTCGATGGGGGCAGCGCCCCGTCTGCCAGCCCAGATCACGTTGGCTGGTCTGATGTGGGATTCAGAACTCGGGTGAGGCAAAGCGCCTGCCTTGGTTTCAAAGGTCACAGCTCTGATTTGTTGCTGCTTCCCCTCATTCTCTCTTGCCTGCCGCAGCAGCAAATGCCTTTAATTATGCATGAGATAATTAACTTGATAAAGTCTTGGATCATTAATCTGTGCAGTGCTGAAAGCTGTTTTCGGTACGTAATGATGAGGGTTTAATTTATTGCTCTGATTGTGTCCGTTATCCCTTCTCCCCGTCTTACCTCGGCGGTGGCAGCTCCAGCACAGAACTGCCTTGAACGCATTTGACATTTGCAAATATTCAGGGCTTGGGACCTCCTGCAAAGTGCTGTGTGCTCGTGGGCATGCTTGTGCATTCGCTCTCTGCTGCTGGGCATGCCTGAGGATCTGCTCTCTGCATCCTCACGTCTGAAAATGTCCTTCCAGACCAATTCCACACCCCTCGCTGCTCTCGGATTGYCCTCCTCCTGTTTGGGGACCCAGTCTGATACTTTCCATGTGCTCCCAGCAGTGCTGAGACATGGCTATAAAACATAGGTCTAACCCGGAGCCTAAGGCCAGAGGCCCCAGCACAGTGATATGTGGTACCCTGAGCAGACTGTCAGAGCTCTTAAAAACCCGAGCTTGCTGTCCGTGCTTGTGGTAGCGTGCTGGAAGAAGCCCAAATGTGCTGCACATGTCCCCACACAATGGGGAACGAGGTCATTGTGCAGCTGGGATGTTCTGAAAGCAGAAGATGAGCTTGATTCTGAGCACTTGGGAGGCTCCGAACTGAAATCTTACTCTCTAATTGTAAACTGTCCATCAGCTGTGCTGCTTAGATCTAAACTATAATGAAAATAATTGTCATTTAAGCTTTGCTGCCTCYTAAGGCAGCTGCTCTTAAGGCAGCTCTTCCCTCTGAGGAAGGCCTTGAAGGATGTGGAACTTGGTATGCAATGATTTAGGGCTAAAGACTTTTTTTTTTCCCCTTTTTCCCTTTTTGTCCTTAGTATTCGTTATGTAACGAGCCTCTGATAGAGCTGTCGAACCCTGGTGCCAGTGGCTCCCTCTTCTATGTCACCAGTGATGACGAGTTCATCATAAAAACTGTGATGCACAAGGAAGCTGAATTCCTACAGAAGCTCCTTCCCGGCTACTACATGGTGTGTATCGTCCTGGACCTGGCTTGGGATGGTAGCGACGATGTTTCTGTACTCAGCATTGTATAGGGCATGGCACCCACGTGGGTTTCTGGTGGCCTGTCCCTTGACTGCATGAACAGTGTGTCATGAAGCCTGTCCCAGAAGTACAAACCCTGCCAATTATTTGCAAATCTAAGGCACCTAATTGTGTCATGGCTCRTAGACATGTTCTGGCCTGAAAAAGACTTCCCAGGTGTCTGTTTTGAGGGTCCTGAGATGACAAATAATAAATCAAAATACAACCCCAATGCCTAGAAAGATGTATTAACCAGCAACCGTGTGTCTGCATGACCAGGTCAAAGGATCCAGCTCTATAAATGTGGACACTGAAATCTAGTTAGGGCTACCCTGAGCACCAGGAAAGTGAAACCTGCTCTTCAGAGCATTCAGAGATGCTCCACATCATCTCTCTGCTGCCTTTGGGAAACACACCAGTGTAAAATGAGCTGGTGAGAAGGGAGCAGGATGGTTACGTCCTCAGCTAAGCTGGAAAAGTGGCCTTGGCTTTTGGGCTGGGCTGCCACTGTGATGCTTTTAGTCCGGGCTGTGTTCAGCAGCGCACAACAAGGGCTCACTCGCAAGCCTAGTTAGGCGAGGTGAGATGAGGAGCACAAAATTTTAATAAATAATAATAAATAAATAATTTTTGTCTTTCTGACGCCTGTCAGAGGATCTGTCAGGTCTGTCCTTTCTTTCGCAGCGTGCGGGGATGTTCTGCTTCCTTCCTAAACTTCCCCAAAGCTGAACAAGCAAATCATGCCTGTCATGTCATTGCTAATAATACAGCTGCCTAAAAAAGGGCTTGATGGCAGAGCAGGATATCCGTGCTCTCTGGCCGGTTGTGTTTTGTAAGATGACTCTAAAAGAAGGGGAAAATTGGTGGTGTTTTGTTAGGAATATTGTAGCCTTGGTTTATTCTGGGCCACAGAACAGCTCTTAATTTCTGACACTCCTAAATGAATGCAGATAGCGGATATTTTTAAACTTGAAGTTCCCACTTATTTGTATTTATTTCTCTTTCAATTTGCTTTCCCATTTTTAGCTGCTCTTGATGGGGAAAGCAGGGAATTTCCGGACTTGATTATTTGCCCAGAGACATCTGAACATCTGATTCCATATATTGAAGGCATAGTGGTATTTTCAGGTCCTAAAGCCACTGAAAGGCAAAAGTTTGTCACATTTATGCATTTCCTGCATAAATGTCACGTTTATGCATTTTCCTGAGCTTTCCTGCAAAATTCCGAAAAAAAATGTAGTTGAAGAAGCCCTAATCTGCTGACAGTTCCAAGATCCATTAACGTTGGCTCTTTATTGAACACAACAGGAGTCTTCTGCCAAAATGACCTTTTCCTGATGCTTTTCCAACCCTGCTGCAGAACCTGAACCAGAACCCACGGACGCTGCTGCCAAAGTTTTATGGACTCTATTGTGTGCAGTCAGGGGGCAAAAACATCCGGGTGGTCGTGATGAACAACATTTTGCCCCGGGTGGTGAAAATGCACCTGAAATTTGACCTGAAAGGTTCGACCTACAAACGCCGGGCATCCAAGAAGGAAAAAGAAAAGTCCAGCCCCACGTACAAGGACCTAGACTTCATACAAGACATGCCCGAGGGCCTCATGCTGGATGCAGACACCTTCAGTGCGCTGGTGAAAACCTTGCAACGAGACTGCCTGGTAAGGAGAGGGGGATGTTTGGGAGCAGCTTAAGGAGGYTTGTGGCTCTTGAGCACGAGGAATTGCTGGTGACTGAGGACCTTGCTAGTCTGCTAACCCCAAAGCAGGGACAAGCCCCTTCACTGCTCCTCGTCCCTTAAAGCAAAGCAGTGAAGTTGAGTCTCATGGCAGTGTGTGAGAATTGAGACTGTTCATTCCTCTGATGCACCCAAGTTGTGGCAATCTGCTTTTTCTTTTTCTCTTTCTCTCTTTCTCTTTCTCTCTTTCTATTCCCTCTTTCTCTCTCTCTCTTTCTCTTTCTCTTTCTTTCTCTTTCTCTTTCTCTCTCTTTCTCTCTCTTTCTCTTTCTCTCTCTTTCTCTTTCTCTCTCT